CAGACTAGTCTCTCAGACAGTCAGACTAGTCTCTCAGACAATCAGACTAGTCTCTCTGCCAGTCAGACTAGTTTCTCAGACAGTCAGACTAGTTTCTCAGACAGTCAGACTAGGCTCTCAGACAGTCAGACTAGTCTCTCAGACAGTCAGACTAGTCTCTCAGACAGTCAGACTAGTCTCTCAGACAGTCAGTCTAGTCTCTCAGACAGACGAGTCTTTCAGCCAGTCAGACTAGTCTCTCAGTCAGTCAGACTAGTATCTCTAACAGTCAGACTAGTTTCTCAGACAGACAGACTAGTCTCTCAGACAGTCAGACTAGTCTCTCAGACAGTCAGACTAGTCTCTCAGCCAGTCAGACTAGTCTCTCAGCCAGTCAGACTAGTCTCTCAGACAGTCAACCTAGTTTCTCAGACAGTCAGACTAGTCTCTCAGACAGCCAGACTAGTCTCTCAGACAGTCAGACTAGTCTCTCAGACAGTCAGACTAGTCTCTCAGACAGTCAGACTAGTCTCTCAGCCAGTCAGACTAGTCTCGATGCCAGTCAGACTAGTCTCTCAGTCAGTCAGACTAGTCTCTCAGACAGTCAGACTAGTTTCTCAGACAGTCAGACTAGTCTCTCAGACAGTCAGACTAGTCTCTCAGACAGTCAGACTAGTCTCTCAGACAGTCAGACTAGTCTCTCAGCCAGTCAGACTAGTCTCTCAGCCAGTCAGCCCAGTCTCTGAGACAGTCAGGCTAGTCTCTCAGCCAGTCAGACTACTCTCTCAGACAGACAAGTCTTTCAGCCAGTCAGACTAGTCTCTCAGTCAGTCAGACTAGTCTCTCAGACAGTCAGACTAGTTTCTCAGACAGTCAGACTAGTCTCTCAGACAGTCAGACTATTCTCTCAGACAGTCAGACTAGTCTCTCAGTTAGTCAGACTAGTCTCTCAGACAGTCAGACTAGTTTCTCAGACAGTCAGACTAGTCTCTCAGACAGTCAGACTAGTCTGTCAGACAGTCAGACTAGTCTCTCAGCCAGTCAGACTAATATCTCAGACAGTCAGACTAGCCTCTCAGCCAGTCAGACTAGTCTCTCAGACAGTCAGACTAGTCTCTCAGACAGACGAGTCTTTCAGCCAGTCAGTCTAGTCTCTCAGCCAGTCAGACTAGTCTCTCTGCCAGTCAGGCTAGTCTCTCAGACAGTCAACCTAGTTTCTCAGACAGTCAGACTAGTCTCTCAGACAGTCAGACTAGCCTCTCAGCCAGTCAGACTAGTCTCTCAGACAGTCAGACTAGCCTCTCAGCCAGTCAGACTAGTCTCTCAGCCAGTCAGACTAGTCTCTCAGATAGTCAGGCTAGTCTCTCAGCCAGTCAGACTAGTCTCTCAGCCAGTCAGACTAGTCTCTTAGCCAGTCAGACTAGTCTCTCAGCCATTCAGACTAGTCTCTCAGACAGTCAGATTAGTTTCTCAGTCAGACTAGTCTCTCAGACAGTCAGGCTAGTCTCTCAGACAGTCAGACTAGTCTCTCAGACAATCAGACTAGTCTCTCTGCCAGTCAGACTAGTCTCTCAGACAGTCAGACTAGTCTCTCAGTCAGTCAGATTAGTCTCTCAGATAGTCAGACTAGTCTCGCAGACAGTCAGACTAGTCTCTCAGACAGTCAGACTAGTCTCTCAGACAGTCAGACTAGTCTCTTAGCCAGTCAGACTAGTCTCTCAGCCAGTCAGACTAGTCTCACAGACAGTCAGGCTAGTCTCAGCCAGTCAGACTAGTCTCTCAGCCAGTCAGACTAGTCTCTCAGACAGTCAGACTAGTTTCTCAGTCAGTCAGACTAGTCTCTCAGCCAGTCAGACTAGTCTCTCAGACAGTCAGACTAGTTTCTCAGTCAGTCAGACTAGTCTCTCAGACAGTCAGACTAGTCTCTCAGTTAGTCAGACTAGTCTCTCAGACAGTCAGACTAGTTTCTCAGTCAGACTAGTTTCTCAGACATTCAGACTAGTCTCTCACACAGTCAGACTAGTCTCTCAGACAGTCAGACTAGTCTCTCAGACTAGTCTTTCATCCAGTCAGACTAGTCTCTCAGCCAGTCAGACTAGTCTCTCAGCCATTCATACTAGTCTCTCAGTTAGTCAGACTAGTCTCTCAGACAGTCAGACTAGTCTTTCAGCCAGTCAGACTAGTCTCTCAGACAGTCAGACTAGTCTCTCAGGCAGATGAGTCTTTCAGCCAGTCAGACTAGTCTCTCAGCCAGTCAGACTAGTCTCTCAGCCAGTTAGACTAGTCTCTCAGCCAGTCAGACTAGTCTCTCAGACAGTCAGACTAGTCTCTCAGACTAGTCTTTCATCCAGTCAGACTAGTCTCTCAGCCAGTCAGACTAGTCTCTCAGCCATTCATACTAGTCTCTCAGACAGTCAGACTAGTTTCTCAGACAGTCAGACTAGTCTCTCAGACAGTCAGACTAGTCTCTCAGACAGTCAGACTAGTGTCTCAGACAGTCAGACTAATCTCTCAGTCAGACTAGTCTCTCAGCCAGTCAGACTAGTCTCTCAGACAGTCAGACTAGTCTCTCAGACAGTCAGACTAGTCTCTCAGACAGTCAGACAAGTCTCTCAGACGGTCAGATTAGTCTCTCAGACAGTCAGACTAGTCTCTCAGACAGTCAGACTAGTTTCTCAGCCAGTCAGACTAGTCTCTCAGACAGTCAGATCAGTCTCTCAGACAGTCAGACTAGTCTCTCAGACAGTCAGACTAGTCTCTCAGACAGTCAGACTAGTCTCTCAGCCAGTCAGACTAGTCTCTCAGACAGTCAGGCTAGTCTCACAGACAGTGAGACTAGTCTCTCAGACAGTCAGACTAGTCTCTCAGACAGTCAGACTAGTCTCTCAGACAGTCAGATTAGTCTGTCAGACAGTCAGACTAGTCTCTCAGACAGTCAGACTAGTCTCACGGACAGTCAGACTAGTCTCTCAGACAGTCAGACTAGTCTCTCAGACAGTCAGACTAGTCTCTCAGCCAGTCAGACTAGTCTCTTAGCCAGTCAGACTAGTCTCTCAGCCATTCAGACTAGTCTCTCAGACAGTCAGATTAGTTTCTCAGTCAGACTAGTCTCTCAGACAGTCAGGCTAGTCTCTCAGACAGTCAGACTAGTCTCTCAGACAATCAGACTAGTCTCTCTGCCAGTCAGACTAGTCTCTCAGACAGTCAGACTAGTCTCTCAGTCAGTCAGATTAGTCTCTCAGATAGTCAGACTAGTCTCGCTGACAGTCAGACTAGTCTCTCAGACAGTCAGACTAGTCTCTCAGACAGTCAGACTAGTCTTTTAGCCAGTCAGACTAGTCTCTCAGCCAGTCAGACTAGTCTCACAGACAGTCAGGATAGTCTCAGCCAGTCAGACTAGTCTCTCAGCCAGTCAGACTAGTCTCTCAGACAGTCAGACTAGTTTCTCAGTCAGTCAGACTAGTCTCTCAGCCAGTCAGACTAGTCTCTCAGACAGTCAGACTAGTTTCTCAGTCAGTCAGACTAGTCTCTCAGACAGTCAGACTAGTCTCTCAGTTAGTCAGACTAGTCTCTCAGACAGTCAGACTAGTTTCTCAGTCAGACTAGTCTCTCAGACATTCAGACTAGTCTCTCACACAGTCAGACTAGTCTCTCAGACAGTCAGAGTAGTCTCTCAGACTAGTCTTTCATCCAGTCAGACTAGTCTCTCCAGCCAGTCAGACTAGTCTCTCAGCCATTCATACTAGTCTCTCAGTTAGTCAGACTAGTCTCTCAGACAGTCAGACAAGTCTTTCAGCCAGTCAGACTAGTCTCTCAGACAGTCAGACTAGTCTCTCAGGCAGATGAGTCTTTCAGCCAGTCAGACTAGTCTCTCAGCCAGTCAGACTAGTCTCTCAGCCAGTTAGACTAGTCTCTCAGCCAGTCAGACTAGTCTCTCAGACAGTCAGACTAGTCTCTCAGACTAGTCTTTCATCCAGTCAGACTAGTCTCTCAGCCAGTCAGACTAGTCTCTCAGCCATTCATACTAGTCTCTCAGACAGTCAGACTAGTTTCTCAGACAGTCAGACTAGTCTCTCAGACAGTCAGACTAGTCTCTCAGACAGTCAGACTAGTGTCTCAGACAGTCAGACTAATCTCTCAGTCAGACTAGTCTCTCAGCCAGTCAGACTAGTCTCTCAGACAGTCAGACTAGTCTCTCAGACAGTCAGACTAGTCTCTCAGACAGTCAGACAAGTCTCTCAGACGGTCAGATTAGTCTCTCAGACAGTCAGACTAGTCTCTCAGTCAGACTAGTTTCTCAGCCAGTCAGACTAGTCTCTCAGACAGTCAGATCAGTCTCTCAGACAGTCAGAGTAGTCTCTCAGACAGTCAGACTAGTCTCTCAGACAGTCAGACTAGTCTCTCAGCCAGTCAGACTAGTCTCTCAGACAGTCAGGCTAGTCTCACATACAGTGAGACTAGTCTCTCAGACAGTCAGACTAGTCTCTCAGACAGTCAGACTAGTCTCTCAGACAGTCAGATTAGTCTGTCAGACAGTCAGACTAGTCTCTCAGACAGTCAGACTAGTCTCACGGACAGTCAGACTAGTCTCTCAGACAGTCAGACTAGTCTCTCAGACAGTCAGACTAGTCTCACAGACAGTCAGACTAGTCTCACAGACAGTCACTGATGAGTGTACAACATTCAATTATAGCTTCAATTATAGATTTAATTATAGCTTCAACCATAGCTAAATTATAGATTCATAGTTTCAGTTATAGGTTTAATTATAGATTCAATTATAGCTTCAATTAAAGATTCAATTAGTTTCAATTATAGCTTCAATTATAGACTTAATTATGGCTTTAATTATAGATTCAATTATTGCTTCAATTATAGATATAATTATAGATTCAATTATAGAGTTAATCATAGTTTTAGTAATAGATTTAATTATAGCTTCAATTATAGATTTAATTATAGCTTCAGTTGCAGCTAGTTTTCCAGTGTTACATTTTTGTTTACTGTGTGCGAGTACTGAC